AAAAAGGGAATGACATAACTATATTCGATCGTACACACGTTTCCATTAATAGCAGGACTGTGGAGCATCTTGAACTCTTTTAAAGGAATAGCCCATGATTTAGGAGCCAATCAGAATGCAGTATTTTTAATATCCTATGTTCTGGTGAGTACTTAACTTAATTGTTTTCAAATTGATTGTTTTAAAGACAAAAGACTTGTTCAAAGACAAAGCCTACGTTTTAACAAATGTTCAAATCACAACTGAAAACAGTGGCGAGGATTGCAAGGTGAAAATAATCCTGACTTTCGGCAAAGGTATGACCAAAAACGACATCCTTGTAAAATTTGAAAACGCTTCAAAGGGTGAAATTGGTGGAGTGACTTTGAAGGATTTCACTGCAGATGTCTTTGGTGAGTTTAGAGTCTCTGTGGTTATCATTCATCATGACACAAAGATAAATCCATTTATAATTCTATATACATTTACAGCCTTTTGTAAAAATTATGAGAATTGTCTAAATATCTAAATATCATAATATCCATATCCATATATTGCCGGAACACGCGGGTTTGCTAGAATAATTCATTGTTGACATCGAGAAAATGTTCAGAACTACGGATAAGTCTGTCGCCAAAAAAAAACCTAAACTACAAAGACAAGGGACTAAGGGCATCGCGCGGGATTACCCATCATGCACTCGATATTATGATATTTAGATATTTCGACAATTCTCATAATTTTTGCAAAAGGCTGTATACACCTATATACAATTACACTCATATATTATACTGAAACTCCATCACATATATCATCCAATCCTTCCTACAACAATAGAGTCCGATTACCCATGCATCTACAAACATTTGCTAAGAGATTTTTACAGATTTAACAAATACATTTTAAATGCTGCATTGCAATCTGGCTTTAAAATCCACGTTTTCCTCGGTCAAGAGCGCTCCGAGAAATATGGGTTTCTTGCATAATAAATGCTTACGACGTAAGTCGGAAGTGAATTAAAAACAAAACAAAAAACAAACAAACAAAAAAAACAAGCAAACACAACAACAAACGAATAAAAACGAGGTTAAGGGCCCTGCCCTCTGATTTATGTTTAACAAGCTGAGCTTTTCGTTTCGAGCACGTGATTACATTGTCTGCTTTTTTTTTCAAAAAAAAATGATGCTTACGAAGTTCCATTATAAAAGTTAATCATAAAACAAATAACAAATGTACACAAGCATCTGTAATACGAAACTGATCGAGTTGTTCATTTTAGTGTTCAAATTCAATATAAGACGACGTTACGATGTTATTTTGATGATGTTTAGAATTAGCTCCACTTGGTTATTTGCATGCTTCATAAAATAAAAAGTATTAAATGATAAATGGATAAATAACTTTATTGACAACTCAATCATTCTAGCCAAAAAACATGTTTCTTGATAATTTATCGCGTTTTATAGGACAGTTTCTTTGAAAAGTTGCACAATCTACAAGCACATTTTGTGCTTTTATCATAAAATAATAAAATATATTTATTCATCACAAAATGGATAAAATGAGTTTAATTTTTTTTTGACAGTGGATGGAGTTAAGTTGGGAGAATACACGGCGACTGCCGAGAACTGCAAAGCGAAATGCTGCGATTCATTCGGACCGATCACTATGGAGAGAGACTGTGATCCTAAACATAAATGCAAAAACTACAGGTTAAAGAAAGGGGTGGATAAATGTAATACAGTCTGCAAAGTGAAAGACATTTGTGATGGTGAGTTGGATGATTAGTATGAGAGAGAGAATGATTTCATAATGACAATAGTGATTATTGACAACACACTCTCTTAAAAATCGCAAAATCGCAAAATCGCATTAGCCAATCATATGACGCGCTCATGAGAACCTTTGCAAAATTTTCTCGCATAAAAAAAACTGCTGAAAGCAGCCTTCAGCGACGGATCTTTTTTAAACAAAGAAAACTATCGCAAAGATTTTCGGATGCAAGTTGAACTTTAATGTTCACATTTTACCGGGCACAAAAACATGCACTATAATAAACAAATGATATCCAAGTTACAATTGTCTTGAAATTCGTAGCATTTTAATCTTTTTTTTCAGATGGAATGTCACTCCAAGTTTCATTGTTGATGTTGGCCTTTGGTGGACTTTTGAGCTGGTATGATTAGCGTTATTTCTTATTCACTTTTTACATATGCCATATTGTGTTGCGACAAATATAATTCAGGCTATACCCGAGGTTTTCTAAAATTGGCCACGGTTCATTAGAATTGCATTGCGTTCTTTATCTGTTTTATTAAGGTGTCGCAGGGATCCGTGAAAAAGATACTTGGCATCAGTGTGAGACGCACCTAAGTTTTTTTTATTATTTGTTCTCAACAGGGTCCTCAAAGAGTAAACATCGATGTATTCTGGCATCAAAGAAAATCTAAAGGCCGAATTAGACGGCGTAACTTTTGCTTACAAACCGGCATAACATGCAACCTGCAACTTTTGTCTGCAACTTTTGCATGCAACCGACAACTTTTGTCTGCATCCATCGAATGCGACCTGGGTATGTCGTCCTTACAACATGGCTACAACTGTCGTAGGGCTATTAAGATCGTTTAAAAGGATGACTTACGCAGGTTGCATGTAATGTTTCTAGGCAAAAGTTGTGGCGTCTAATTCGGCCTCAGGATGACTAACGCAGGTCGCATGCTATGGTTGAGGTGTAGGCAAACGTTGTGTCGTCTAATTCGGCCTTAAGCAGACTTCCATATTCAACTTTTTTTATCTACTTTAAATCATTCAATTTGATGGTCGTATAGGGACAAATCGTTTAAAAACTAGTTAAAATAAGACCCTGTTGACAAAAATCTATGGTCAAATAGTTTCATGCGCTTGGCGCAAAAGGCGAGTTTTAGGCTAACGATTACGAACGCCAAGCGTCAAAAAYAATCMCGYGATCAAAGTTTTTCTGAATTAAAGCTCCATTGCTTTGCRTTTGTGTATAAATTCGTTCGTTTTTTCGTTCGTGTTGGCATCAACCTAAATTTTTTAAACCTTTTTTGCATTTGTTTGAATTTAGAAAAAAAAATGGAAAGCTAATTTTACGCTTTGCGTTCGACGTAAACGCAAATCTAAATCTCTCCATTATTTATTGCCGTATTGAATGAAAGTGCGATAAATCAGTCACATGTTACATGGAGGTCTTTCTTGAATCAGTCGAAATTGTTTTGAATATAACTTTAATGTTGTTTTATAGATTAAGGCCTTTTCAAACGCCGCTTTTCGTGTGTATCGGTGAAATTCAATGTTTGAAACTGGCCAAATAACTAGTGCCAAATGATCCTTATAGACGATCCTACTGCGAACAATTATTTATTTGAGTGTTGATCTATAGTAGCCTCACGCGCAGTCGTCTCTTTCCTCACTAGAAATAACCGGCAGCTTCCTGTGTAAGAACAGTAAGAGAGCGGGGCTAGGACGAGATGTCGTCTGCGCAGGAGGCTATTCCCTTAGTACAGCATAAATGCTGTATATATTACCGTTAACGCTGTTTAGAAAACCGAATCACATTGTTAATGTGAATTGTGTGAATTGCACCTCGTTGCAAAGACATTGTCATATAAGAATGAAAACTAATGAACTTTTGAAAACCCAAAATTAAAAATCAAATTATTTCAAAAGAAATTCACTTAAGTTGTGCTAGCTTCTTTGTATTTTAAAGGCCCAAGTGCATCCAAGAACCATTGCGCGCCTTTTCATACATACGCCATCTTTGATTTAGAACCAATCAGATAGCGTTTTTTCAAAAAAGGACCTTTTGTAAAACAAAATAAACAATCGCAAAGGTTCGGTTGCGTGTTGGTCTTTAGTCAATTCCTATTTGTAAATGCTAGTTCTTTATTATTTTTATGTGACAACGTTCTTGCGATTACGTTTACTCTTATGCATTTAAAACTGTTTAATCATTTATGTGATGATTTATTTATAGTCAAATAAGGATTGATTGACTTTATAATCCCATTACAATACGTGTTGTGATTTCAAATATTTAGTCAAAATTATTAAACGATTATAGATCAATTTCTTTTTCTGAAGTGTCATTTTTAAAGTGGATAACTGATTTTTTGCGATCCGCTAAGTGAAAATTAATTAGTTAAAAAAAGTGTTTGTGTTTCGTGATAATCATACCATTTCGATGTCTGGTGTAAATATTCCATTACTCGCCCGAATCAGCAATGCAATCTTGCAATGTAGTCGTTATTAGATTGCATTGTGTGTTCATAATGCATAGTCTAAAATCACTGGCATCAAAACTAAAATACGGATTCTAAAATCTATAAAAAGATGAATATACTACCACCAGGGAATTTTTCGAGTCGATCACATTTTCGAATGAGTAGATGTTGATAATGACATACACCTACTTGCAGAAACGTTGTCATAGAAAATAGAACRTTYGAATTTAGTAAAAAGSAATWAWTTAARACAAAACAAAAGAAAGCGTTCAGCCTCAGTAACCTTCTTTTGTCTTTATAATTTATTTCTTTTTACTAAAATACAAATTTTTTCGCAAGTAGGTGTATGTGAAATCCCATTTTACAAAATTAAGTACAATACGTATTTTTCAATCCTTAATTAAAACCTTGTTTGCTTGAACTTAAAAGGTGAAAAAGAAATTAGGCGACATACATCAAACGTCATTACTTCCTGAAGTGACGTCACTGCTATAATATGTCAATCACAAATGTTTTTGAACCTATTTATTTTTGTGTTAAGCTGATAACATTGATAAATGTTGAAACTGATATGTGCTAAAGCACTTATTTTAGAAATTTCAGCATCAGTAAAATCTGAATTAAAACCAACCTTTTTTGACCCAAAAAAGAATACAATAAAACAGCGTCATTATGAAGTGAAGTAGCTTTTACTTCACTCATAACCAGTTGTTTGTTTCCTCTAAATATATATATATAATTTTTTTTTTGCATCGGTCGCATTTTCTATTACTTGAGCCTGTTTATTTTTGTGTTGATTGCATTGATGAAAGTGAAAATTTGTGAAAGGCCTTTTTTACTAGGCTAACTGGTACAGAATCTATTTAAGAAATATAAAAAGGCTCTGATATAGACAAGTTGGGAGTTGAAAAACACGAGAGAAGCAAGCTAAGAAACGTAAGCGTATAGCGAGCGAAAAAGAAATTTTGCTGGTAAACTGTGTCTCTGTCCTCTGATATAAACACGCTCGTCAGCCAATCAGAGCGCGAGTTATATATCAAAAATTGTATAATTGTATCTAAAGTTAAAATGAAACATTTACTGTACAGAAAGTAAAAACACAACACAATGGAACAAACGTCACGACTTGAAGTTACGTCACTATTGCGTCACTCGCTAGCAGCTGCTTCCTTGAAATCTAAATGGATTTTCGACTCGGGCAAAAATTCCCCATAAATACTGCTTATAAACATTGTTAGCTAAAGTAAATTTTAAAATCTAAAAGTTGAAATTGAAGAACTTTTATTTGATATTTATTAAGTAAGCATGAGGATTTACGATTTTAAGTGCCTTCCAGCGTAACACAGAAAACGGATAATGTTTTTCCTAAATAAAGAAATTAAATACTCTCCGGAAATTAGGGGGCTAGACAARATGGGATCCTTTTTAAAAGATGTCGATTCGTACGGCTTYATTAGTTATAYTACCGTCTGTKCAACCACTTTCTTTTCATTTTCCTTACTTTTTCTTCCTTTTTACAAAATTACAAAGTGAAAAAGTTGCAATAAAAATATATGTATTTATTGGAACCATTTTATTTTGTAATTTTATTTTATTTTACGCATTAACGTAGTTTTTTTAATATTTCGTTTGCAAATTCTATTCAAATGTTTTTTCTCCTTAAGTTTCTTTTCTTTTTATTCGTTTTTCATGATTTGGGTGAAATCCGCTAGCAACAATGCATTGCGATCTTCTAATGCAGCATCACAGTATTCGGTAATCAACGTTTTTTAAAAAAGGTTTTATCCCTTTGTTTTCTTCTGTAGCGACTATATACAGATTGGACTACTTACCACGAGACCGAGTAGTTAAATCATTTCATCAACAACTTTTTACGACTTGGTCTATCACGAATAAGATTAAATTCAGTAGCCAACAAGAATTGCTCGATTCCTGCGTTATTCATTAGTTTGCTGGATATTAGTTCTGAATATTTAGTTACTAGTTTTATTTTCAGAAACAAGTGGAACTTCATTGCGGATACAGACGATAAAAACTTGCTCTATAAACGTTTTTACTAAAATTGTCTCTTCGCGTCAGTCATTGTCGCAAAACATCACCCCGCAATATAATATCACCATGACATCATTCTTAACGATGATAATTTCTAAAATGCAAATTCAAAGTTCTTCGGCAACAAATCAATACAAATAATGGTTTTGTGTGATATTTCGATTTGTCGTTTGTCACTGCAACATATCAATGAGATAAATCTCCCAAAGCAAAGCAACAGGACTTGTCGACGACTTCTCAACAAGACACAATATTAATTCCAATTTGATAAGAATTTTCCTTGTGATTCCAAAAAAATCGCTGTTGTTCTCTGCGTGAGAATTGCATAAACTAATGACATTACTTAACACGTTTTACGAGGTGTATAATAATGTGAATTATTTTATTCATAAGACTGAAACGTCTGAGGAATTCTTCAAGTTTTGAACTCGCAATTTTTACAAATTACATAATTATTGTCTTTGTCTTCAATTCAGAAACTAACTCTGTTATACGAAGAAAATCTTAAATATTTTCCTTGTATACACTGTATTCATTATTAATGAAATGATATTTTTTTTCGTTTACATTATGACTTTGATGGACGAGCCACTGACGAATACTAAGACAAATACCATGTTTACTCGAAATTTATTCACCTTCTGAACTTTTTCTCATCGATATGAGCGAATAATAACAATAATAATAAATGGAAAAGGTTCGGGGAAGATGTCACTRTTTTATCAMTGAAAAKCTCCATAAGCTACTKCATTATACCTGCTACTGGTTGTGATAAATGCTAATAACGTTCGTTTACTGTTCAGTGGTCCCAGTTTAGTTCCYGGCGTTGGATAAAAACAAACGTTGTRTGTACTATTTAACACCGATCAGCATGAAAAATTCTTCACGGTTTTTTTT